GTTTCCCCTGTAATAGAAATGTAATGAACATGCCTTCGATACTAAAAAACAGGTACTATGTATATGTAACTTAATATCCCAATAGCTCATGACTCTTTGACTTTTGGGATCCATGATTCAGAACAGCCTCCTCTGAATTTCACTAGAAGCATTATTCAAGTATGCGAAATAACAAACAAGATAACAAATATATTTGCATGGCTTCTATGTGATTGCATGCTCCTCCACAAACTGTAGTCTACTAAAAAAAAAAAAAAAAAAAAAGTAAAAGTTAGTTTCTGAAATTCATGTAGGCAGACCTTCATTTTTCTTACTTCTGCCCCATTTCAATTAATTTGTACTTGGTGCCACTGTTGCCAACATGGAGCACTATCCCAGAGGTAAAGGAGATAAAAAATCAGAAAGAAGCTATAAGGCTTTACCCTGGGAGAGCCCTCAGTGGGGATACTAGTCTAGGAAAGGCTGAAGTAGGTACATACCCAGGCATATTCTGGTGGAAATATGAGGAACAAAGGAGAGAGGAGACCAAGCAATGTAAAAGGTTATGGTTCAAGCAATAATCTGTGGCCTTAAGATGAAATCAGAAAACTCTCCAAAGTCCCCAAATTCACATGCCATCAAGCAGACAGAAGCTTAAAGTTATGTAAGTACTGAATTATGTAAGTACTGGCCCTACACTTCTTTCTTTCCATCATCCCTCATCATCCATCTTCCCCAAATGTAGCCATAGAAGCTGCTAATAAAGGACCCTTTACATGGTATTGTTCGAGCAGGGTTGAAGTTCTCACTTTCTGAAAGATGTTCATGTTTTAATAGGAAGTACAAAAGATGGTCATGACACCAATAAGAAAACACTGACAAGAGTACTAGGAAGTCCTGGAGTCCAGAGATAACTTTTTCTGATGGCCAGACCTGTCCCTTCCCACCTCATGGGCAGTACTAGGCTCCGGACAATTCTGACACCAGCTGTTTGACCAACTTGTATTAACTGCTTCTCTCTGGCACTGAACAAAGGCACCCTGTGAGCTTCTCTCCAACCCAAATCAGTGGGTGGGGGGCACATAATAATGGGCACCTGGGATCCTCAGTGCAGGGTTCAAGCTCAGCACCAAAGCAGATAGCAGGGCCTCCTCACACACAAAAACACATTTAATTATCTGGTCTCTCTAGCTTTCTAGTGACCTGACACCAATACATGGTATCCTTATAAACTTCCAGAATTAGAATTGGCATTTCACCTAGAAGCTGAAAAAAAAAAAAAAGAATGGAAGCTTTTGATTAAGTGTCCTTTGGAGCATTATTTAGATCTAAGTGGTCTGGTAGAGGCACAATGTTCACATAAAACTGACTAGAAGAATTCCTACCATTAACAGCCAATACTCCCTATGCAGAAAGGAAAAAGTCATGTCAAAAAAGGAGCAGGATAAGTGATGGTTATAAGGATTACCCATTATTGTGTAAATAATACAAGTAACCTCAGGCTTTATAAGGGTGGGTTATTTGAGCTTATATACCCAACCCTTGGGTCTAATTCGAAATTGTAGTAACCTACTCATTCATCTTCTCTTCCCTCCCCACCTGCCCAAGAAAAAGCCAAACTTCACAATGATCCAAAGAAAAAAGAAGCAAAGACAAAAGAAGGACAAGGAGAATCATGGCCAAGCTTAAACCACAGATGACAGGTACAGATAAGAAGAACAAAGTTAAAAAGAAAAGAAGGAAAGAAGGAAGGAAGGAAGGGAGGAAGGTCGGGAGGGAAGAAGGGAGGGAGGGAGGGAGGGAAGAAAAGACAAGGAAGAGCACCCCCCCTCCACTACCACCACCACCACCACCAAGGCAGTAACTTCACTGGCCACAAGGGATAAACATGTGCATACAATAGGCCTTCTTCTTATCCCTTAATAATAATAAAAAACAATCTGGACTGTTCTTATGTACTTTCTGGTATTCTTTCATGTGCAAAGGTGCCTTTGTAAACTTTAAACCCCCCTCTACCTGACAAGAGTTTGACTTTTACTGTGTCTCTCAGTCTTCAATGTCAACTACCCTCAGGCTGATTAAAAGTTCTAAAAGAATAGGCTAAATACTCTCTTGTACGTATCTTCAGCGCCCTTTCCACTTTCTCCCTTTGTCATCCTCCCTTGGCAAAATCCAATTTCTCTTTAAATCCAGTTATTTGACTACACCATATGTGTGCTCACTCAGTCAACAGCTACAGAAGAAAAACACACGCACACCAACACTCACTTTAATCATGGCCACCAATCTCAAGGGGTCTCTGGTACTATCTGATAATTATGACACATTTTGCTGATTCAAGTATTCTCAAATTTTCCCAAATGACTATTTTATCCCATTTGTTCTCACTTCAAATCTCCAATGCCTCCTCACCCATCCTCACTCACAGCTATTTCACTGAAACACTACATGTAACCCAAACAGATTTTCACAAGCCCCAACCATCACATCTGTCCTACCATATACATCTGTACCTATACCACTCAGGATAGGCTAGCTAATGCTATAACAATAATCTAAAACAAACAAACAAACAAACAAAAATACACTAGATGTTTATAATGGTCAGCTAGAGGAGCATTATTCTTACTCAGGGATGCAGGTTGATGAACAACCAGTTTCTGGATCATTACCAGTCACTGTGGTGGAAAGAAAAATAACTTTTGAGAATTTTCATGCTGACAATTAAATACTATAGCACAAAAATGACATGTATTGCTTAACAGAATTTACTAGCTACAACCAGTTACATGACCCCACCAAACTGAAAGGGGCCAAGAAGTACAATTCTGCCATGTGTCCAGAAGGCTGAGAATATAACCTATTTCACATTAGTGCTAATGATTTCCAATGTGCCCACATAGTCTACTTTTCTCCTATGAATATATTGAACTCCTAGGTAAGGTCAATCCACTTATGTACTAGATCCTTCTTGCCTCCTCAAAGACATCAGTTCTGTAACTGTCCCCACTGTGTCCTGTCTCACAAATGTTTCTTTCCCCACTTGATCATTTTATCAGCATATAAACATCATTACAATTACTTAATTTTTTTCACAATAAAAAGCAAAAATGAGAACCTTGACTTCATGTCCCCTTCCAGGTACAGCTGCATTTCTCTGTTTCCCACACTCTCTTGAACTCATTCCAATAAAGCAAGTCTCCTCCCACCATCCCTTCACCAAATCAGTGCTTTGTCAAGATCTCCCATGACTTCTATATTGCTACAGCCAACAGTAAACTTTGATTCCTTATTGTATCCATACTCTCAGCCTCATTTGATGTAACTGAACATTCATTTTTTAATTCTTGAAACACTTTCATACTTGATTCCCAAGGCACTCGGTTTTCTTGGTTCTCCTCCTACACTCCTGGCCACAGGTGCTCAGTTATTTTTACTGATCCTATGTTCTTGATTATCAATAGCAGGCTGTCCCAGAGCTCAGTCTTAACTGGCTCCTATTCTCTTCTACAACTCCCTCCCTTGGTGGCTTCATTTGCGCTTATAATTCTGAATGCCGTCTATGTACTGATGGGTCTCAAATGTCCAGCTTTAACTTAGATGGATAAACTGAATGCTCAGCTATCCAACTGAATATGCAATATTGTCCCTTGGATGTTATCTTAGTCCATTTGGGCTGCTATAACAAACACACCATAAACTGGATGACTTATAAACAACACATTTATTTCTCACAGTTCTGGAAGCTGCAGGAGGCAACTGATAAATGTTCCTCTCTCATATTGATGTTTCTCTCTCTCCCCCTCTCACTCCCTCTCTCTCTAAAATCAATAAAAACATATTTTTTTAAAAAGAAGCAAGGGAGCCCTCTGGAGACTTTTATAAAAGCATTAATCCCATTCATGAGGGCAAAGCACTCATGACCTTATCACCCCCAAAGAATCCATCTCCTGATACCATCATTTTGAAGTAAGGATTTTAACATATGAATTTTAGAATGAAACAAACATTTAGTTCATAGCATAAGTCTAATAGGCAAAATAATTTTGTTAGGAAATAGATGGTTCAAAGTATAAAAATGGTCTAATCCAATCCCTCCTTTTATTTTCTTTATTTTTTTTTCTTTATTGATTTTAGAGAGAAAGAAAGGGAAAGGGAGAGAGAGATAGAAACATTGATGAGAGAGAACATTAACTGGCTGCCTCCTGCATGTCCCCCACTGGGGATTTGGCCCACAACCTTGGCATGTGCCCTGATAGGAATCGAACTGGTGACCTCTTGGTGCATGAATCGATGCTCAACCACTGAGCCACAATGGCCAGGCCCAATCCCTTCTTTTAGAAATGAATACCATACACCTGAAACTAATACAAAATAATATTGAATGTAAACTATAATATACATATTTTTAAATATAAAAAAGGAAAAGAATATTAAAATTTAGTAGCACATACAGAAGAAGAAGAAGAAGAAGAAGAAGAAGAAGAAGAAGAAGAAGAAGAAGAAGAAGAAGAAGGAGGAGGAGGAGGAGGAGGAGGAGGAGGAGGAGGAGGAGGAGGAGGAGGAGGAAGGAGGAGGAGGAGAAGGAGGAGGAGGAGGAGGAGGAGGAAGAGAAGAAGAAGAAGAAGAAGAAGAAGAAGAAGAAGAAGAAGAAGAAGAAGAAGAAGAAGAAGAAGAAGAAGAAGAAGAAGAAGTAGAAGAAACAAAACAGAAGTGAGGAACTCAAGTCTCCCAGAAATAAACTAAATTCCCAAAGGTTGGAAAGAGATAAGAACTCTGGTTACCTGATGCTTTTCTAGCCACTTCTCTTCTGCTAAATGAATAATATTCAATTGTCATCACAATGGCAAAAATAAAGGGAAGGGAAGTATAACAAATAGTAAACTAAATGGTAACAAGAAATAAAATACAATAAAACATTAACAAACTTAAGTGTGTTCCTAGTAAAGTTAAAATGGAAAACAACTGAAGTAAGTAAGAAGCAAGCCATAAAACCCTAGTAAACTATTAACTTCACTTACCATTTATGCAGTTTGCAGGTAATTCTAATATGAAGTCAACTTCATTTGCAAGACATTCCATCCATTGCCTAAATACCAGAAAGAGATGTTGTCAAAATAGGTTGTTTGGGTATCTGGAGCTGGTCAAGTGGTAAGAAGGCTTTAAAGAGATGCAGCATACCTAAGGGTGGCTTTTCACAAGTAGGGTTGCCCAATGATCACCTCACTACTGAGATGTAATTTTTCTATCTTTTTAAAAAATTTCCTAGCAACATGATTAGGTATGTTTCATAGCAAAGAATACATTTCCTCTTTCAAATACAAATAGACAACTTATTAGAAATTTGAAAGCTGATGGGGAAAAAAGTAAAGTTCAGGTAATATGCCTAAGCAAAGGTCACCTAGAGTGTTATTACAGATAACTCAAATAATTTTCTTAAGCTGTGAATCCCCATTTCCAAACAAGTTACAATACTGTAGCATAGGCAGACATATAGATAGGCATTTATACATTTAATCATACCAAATATAACTGTAACTCAACAAATTAAATCACAACATTAAATTCAAGCTACTTAATTATTCTTGTCCTTATGTTTCCTTGTATGAAAAATGCAGTAATTGGTTCAAATAATTTTAATAACTTCTCCAAAGAATACATTTTTGTAGGAGAAACATGAGCAGCATAATTAAAAACAATGGCTTAGATAGTCCCTATGATGTTCTATGGCCTAAAATGATTTAAAGATAAGGCAAGGTACAAGAGAAAACTCTGACCAGAACAGAGATTAAACTTAGAAGTATGACAAGTTATTAGTCTTCCAAGATCAGCATTAATATGTATTACCTCTCTATATAAAAATCTAAGGAATAAAGACTGAAAGGCAAATCAATGCTAAAAATTATAGCAACTTTAACTTTCAATAACAATAAACCAGATAATTGGAGCCAAGACTCCCACTGAAGATAACTAAAGTGTTTACAATAGTGAAGAACAACTGAGTACCAAGTCTGAAAGTAGATGGGAGATTATATATGGGGCTTGTTTTGCTAGGGGATATGGGTGGATATTTGCTGATACCCTAGGAACACTGAGAGAATGAAGGTTACTTCTGATGGTTCTGGGGGTGAAAAAACAGAAGATGGGACTCACCAAGAGTAAGTCACCTCATTTTGGAATAGAAAATAAATTTAACAAAAGTAATCAGCCATCATATGGATTTCCAGCCAAGCTTCAAGTTATCTGGGTGGTTCAGATGATTTAGATTAAGATGAGTTCAGAAACACAGTACCTTCAAGCATAAGAAAACAAAATCATTCTCTAGAGGCAAAAGCTATCTTAGCTTTTCAAACAAAATACCAGGCACAATAAAAGATAACCACTTATGAAAGAAGAAAAAATGAGTAAGAAAAAGCAGAAACAAGAGAGAAAAAAAATCAGGTTTCCAAATATTAGAATTGTCAAAATTGGACTGTGAAAAAACTAAGCTTAATATATTTAAAGAGCTAAAAGCCAGGAGGGAACTTTAAACACTTTTTATTATATAGATTTGAAAATAAAGGAAATAGCCAATTCTAGACCACAAAATACAATTTTTAAAATATTAGAAACTCAATGGATGAAGAAAGAATTAGTGAACTGAAAGATAAGTCGGAGGGAAAGGTGTTCAGAATTAATTACAAAGAAGTATAAGGAAGGACAAAAGTACAGAGATAAAAGAGATGGTATTAAGTCTCAAAGATAAGCCACAATGAACCATGTTGCTCAGTATTCATGAACTTGTGTAGTCTCGGCCCACATTAAATCTGGGTTAGCTCTAAATAAACTATGGTTAACTTTAACTATTAAAGGAATATTGCAAAAGCGATGCTATTCCAGTTCTGGGCTTATGTCTTAAGAAAGCCTGGCAGCTCCCACCTTTTCAGAAGTCCTTTTGGGAGCCCCCGATCACCATGTAAGAAATCCAACTGCCCTTCTAGAGAGACCACATGGAGAGAATATGATAACAGAAGAGTGGAAGACAGAATTCTGAGACTAAGATGTCCTGTCATACCTGTTGAGACTAGCTTTCCAGCTTTTCCTGTCAAGGGTACCAGACATGTAAGTGAATGCATCTTTAATGTTTAAGCCCCAGATTCCTTCAAACTGCAACCTTATGATAGATCCCAAGCAAGATTAGCAGAAGAACCATCCAACTGAGCCCAGTTTACCCACAGAATTTTGAGAAATAATGAAATGGTAGATGTTTTAAGCCACGAGTTTTTTGAGTGGTTTGTGTGCAATAATAGATAACTAAAATAGAAGGATGTATAAAGGATACACACTAAAATATTTAACACATATTTATTAGAGACAGAAGAATGAGAAATGGGCTAAAAATATAGAAATACAATGGTGAGAGTTTTCCAAAACTCACTAAATACACAATTCTCAGATTCAAGAAGCCCTAATAACCCCAAAAAGGATGAATTAAAAGAAATCTATGCTTAACCACATCATAGTAAAAATGCAGAAAACTAATGATGCAGATAAAATTTTACAAGTGTAGACAGAGAAAAAAGGCAGATTACATTTAAAAGGGCAACAATAACACTGACAGTTGACTTCTCTCCAGCCCTCCACAACCTCCAAAAAGAAATTACTAAAGTCAGAAGGCAATCGAGTATCTTCAAAGAGCTAAAGGAAAGTAAATGAATAGAGTAGTTCCAACCTAAAATTCAGTGAACATGCCCATCAAGAATGAAGGCTAGAAAAACACTTTGAAAGTAAGAAAAAAATGTATATTTTAGTGTAGTAGAACTACACTAAAGGAAATAGAAATGTTTGTCCAGTAAAACTGAATACCACCCCAATGCATTTAAAAATTAAAGAAGATACCTAAGTACCTCGTTGATCAAAGAAGAAACCAATCCAAATTAGAAACTATTTTAAACTGAGCAACAAATTTACTACATACTAAACTTGCAAGATGAAGCCAAAGCTACTTAGAATAAGAAATAAATGTTAGAAAATAAGAACAACTAAATAGAAGAAAGCAAAGTATGTATCTCAAGACATTAGGAACAAAAGAAACCCTGAGAAACACAAAGAAGGAAATATTAATAAGAGCAGAAATTCAATTAAAAAGTATAAAATAGTGAAGGTCAACAAAGGCATGAGTTGTCCATTTGATAGGCTTAATAAACATGCCAAATCTTTGATGAAGATTGTTGACTAAAAGAGAAAGAGCCATAATTTCAGATAAAGATAATTAAAGAGCATATTTCAATCAACTTTATTCCAAAAAGTTTAAAATTGTTAAAAAATTCACAAATAATAGAACTTTTCAAAACAGTGACCAGAAACATAAAACTTGAATGGTGCTTCAAGAAACGTAATCACAATTTTAAAATTTTCCATGGTAAAAAAATAAATAAACATCATGCTAGATGGCTTCACCAAAAAATTCTACCAAAAATTTAAGGAATCAGTTACACTTAACACAAAGATTTGAAGATAAATCATACAAACCCTGTCATAGAACTGGAACAAAAAGCACTTTCTGTAGCTTGGAGTTTAGATTGAAGCAAACACAAAAACACAACTAAAACCAAAAACTCTATGTCAGTGTCATTTATAATCGTAGATGCAAAAATCTTAAAATGTTAGCATATCAAACCCACATTTTTAAAAGGACACTACACCCTGATGAAACTAAATTTAAGAATCTACACTTAGTTTAAATTTTGTTGAAGTCAATCAATATAAGTGACCATATTAATAAATCAAAAAAGTAAAACCATATTTTTATCTGAGCAGATAGAGAAAAAGACAAAACTATTGACAATTTTTTAAAATTTAAGCAAAAAGAGAAAATTTCTATACTTAAAAAGACACATACCAAAAACCTATAAACATAATACTTAATGGTAAAACAGTAAAAGCACTCTCACTTAGAATAGAGAATAAGACAGGATGCCCACCATTATCTCTTCTACTGCACATTTGCACTAGAGCTCTTGGCTACAACAGTAAGTCAGGAAAAAGATAAGAAGACTAAAAAAGGAAGACAATATCATTTACAAATTAGATTATATAGAAAAATCAAAGGATTCACTATTACTATACTTTTAGAGGTTTTTAACAAGATTGCTGAATATGACAAAATTAAAAATTAAAATTGTTTATAAATCAGCACTTATTAGAAATAAAATTTTGAAAAAAATGCAATTATGATAACATCAAAATATAACAAGTATATAGGGGGAAATCTAACAAAATATGTGCAAAATTACTATGCAAGAAATGACATTACTGAATCTGTTGAGCAATTAAAGCCAGATGCAAGAGTATATACTGCATTAATCTGTTTACACAATGCTCAAGAACAAGCAAAACAATTTAATTTATGGATAAATATTTAGGTAGTAAAATTTTAAAAAGCAAAACAAGTTAGTGGTTTTCATTCTGAGAGAAAGGGATAATAATTAGAAAGAAAGAGGGGGCTTCTGTGGTTCTGGCACCATTCCATTTCTTTGCCTTGGTGGTGGTTAGATGGGTGTTTGTTTACATTACTTCTTTCAGCAGCAAACTGTTAATACCACATTTCTGTATGCATATTGCATTTCATAGACGCTCATACATGCATAAAAAGGTTTTGTAAATCCCCAAAGAAGCAACTAAAAGTGGGAAGATTCATATGGTAAACGTATATTTAAGACATAAGTATAATTAATTTGGAACAATCACTTTGAAGATGCTTAATAAAATTTTTTTTAAACAGAGTCCTAACAGAGTAATAGTCTCCCTCGCAAGACAGCTACAAGAATGGATTTTAGAGTCAGAAAATTTGGATTTCAATCCTAGCTCCACCACTTATTAGCACTGCAATTTGGGGAAAGTTTTCTCTCAGCTAATAGTAGTTTTCTCTACTGCAAAATTTAAAAATCAGCTTAACTCATGAAGATTATAAAGAATATATCTGCAATATCTTGTCATATAATAGAAAGTCAGTACATAGAAATTGTTTTTGTAATTATCTTTGCTATAATTGGAAGGTGGGTGGTTTCCCATTTTTATTAATAATTTTACAATCTTGAACTGACATAAAGTTTTGAAGAAAGGCATTACTAGCCATTCAGTTAATAAAAATTGACCACCAGAAACTACCTCACTTGAAATCATTATCAGATGACAAGTTTTATAGAACTCTCAATAAATTACATTTAACATAGTCAGTAAATGACTGTAGTAGGCTACCCCAACAGTTCTTGTCTGCAAAGAATTATAAAAACCCCTTTTACTTATGGTAGATGACCACAATATAACTTTTACATAAAAATAATAAAGAGCCTTTACAGCCTGAGAACATACATTACTTATCAATAATGATCATTCATATTAGTCCAAATGTGTTCAAACACACAGGTATTCATGTAGCAGCATAAACTGCTCATGAGCTCTCTCATCCTCTTAGTCCATCTTATTCCTATACATTCATAACACAAACAAGCAAGGACATGAAAGATCCACTCAATGTGTGAGAAAGCATGATAAAATGGAAAAAGAATGTGTCTAAGAGACTAATAGACTGCATGCAAATCCTGGCTCTGCCACTTCCTAATTATGTGTCCTTTTCCGGTCTCAGTGTCCTGAATTGTCCAAATGGAATAAAACCAGTCTCATAGGATTGTTTTATAGAAATTCTTCACTGCAGAATGGTGGGACCATCATTCTCCTATGATGCCACCTCTTAACTCAGATATCCCATTCTACCTCACCAGATAGGGTCTACTTCATAACAAAGATGTTTCCATGGTAAGTGTCTCAAACAAGGTGGCTAATCAAATAAAACATCTCCTGAGATATGTGGATTAGAATCCCAGAAACTCAGAGATGAAGGGAGCTCTGAGACCACCAGACACTCTAGTTATAACCTGCTACATCTACCTAAAATTACATTTTTAAAATCATTTTACATATCCTCAGTATAATGTGGTTAGCTGTTAATGATATTTAAGGATCTAGAACAGTAATTCTCAACCTGGCTGCACATTACAATTTCATAGGTAGTAACACACACACAAATGCCCATACCCCACCTTGAATCAACTGAATCAGTAATTTGAAGTAGGGCATGGAAGTTTTATAAAAACTTCTCCAGGTGATTCTAACATGCACCTAGGGTTGAGAACACCACAGAAGATGATCAAGACAATAATTGTCAGTACTTCATTATAAAAGAAAATGTTTTCATAATTATGTGACCCTATTTTTACCCTACCAAAAATAAAAAAGGAAAGTAAAATGAAGGGCATACCAAAAGATCCAGGCTGTATTTAAATAACTTAATGAGAGAGTTACTTGATCTAATGGAATTTAAAAAGATAATTAACTTTTCTAGGATACTACGATACCATTTGAACAGCATATTGTAGTATTATCATGCTAAGAAAAACAAATGGAATGACATTGCTTTCTCTCAGGGCTTTGCGCCTTCTCTTGTGGTTTTATACAAACTAAAAAGAGCATTAGAAAGCCACTCAAAGTGTAACATTTTATATTATTCCACAACATAAATAAAAGTATTATTAAAAAAATGCAATATCAGAAACATGACTTTCGTGTGTTTTTTACCTCCATTTTGTGCAAAATATGTTTCTCCAAGTTCCAGGAATTCTTGTTTTTATTTTCAAAATTACTCCTAGAGAAAGTAAGTTGTTACTACAGTAATATTTACCCACCCTGACGTTATTTCCCACTTGCTTATTCTAAGGCTTTTGCAAATAGCAACCACACAAATATTGGTTGCAAGGTGCTCATAGCACTCAGATCCTTAGCAACATTCTGGAATGAATATATTTTAAACTATGGGAAAACTTAGTTGAATGCCATAGTTTCAAATGCCTCTAAAGGGCTGTAGGTGCTGAATCTATCCCAGATCTGTCAATTTTTAAGAGTAGCACTTCTCCTTTTATTTTCATCCAGGAAGACTAGTGAAAGATATAACAGAAAAAGCTGGTCATAAGATTGCTCATTGAGACATACATCCGCAGGCAACAGAAGCACAGACCAGCAGCTGAGACCCATCCCCAAAAACTACAACAAAAGCTGAGCAGGAGTTGAGCCCCATGGAGCAGCACCACTCCCCAACCACCAGTGGTAGGACCAGGGGCTCCACAGAGGCCTGGGTGGTCCAGCAGCTTACAAGAGCAGTGGGAAGCCGGAGCCAAAGAGGGACTGGTACAATCCAGCTGCCTGCCCACGAAACCTGCAGGGTGCAGGGGCACCAGAGAGGCCAGTACAACCCAGCAGGGACTGTGGATCCAGTTACCGGATGGACCCGCAGGGTACTGAAGCACCAGAGAGGCCTGTTCAACTCAGCAGGGACTGTTCCATCCACTTTCCCGTGGGACCTGTGGTACCTGCGGGCTGCTAAAGCACCAGAGAAGCCTGTGTGACCCAGCAGCCCATAATATGGGCATAGGGCTGGGTCCCCAAAGTGACTGTGCGATCCAGTTACCTGCGGGTCATGCAGGCTGTGGGGGCACCAGAGAGGCCTGTACAACCCAGCTGCCCCAAAGATAGGCATAGAGGAAGTGAAAATGGAGGCAGAGTGAATGGAAGCTACACAGAGAATATCTCAGGACCAAAAGGAAATTACAACTAAAATAAAGACAAATTCTCAAAAAAATAAATAAATAAAGGCAAGAGAAAAACAGCAGGACAGGACCATATAACCAGGGATACTGGTAAGATCTGCGGAGGCGCGAGAGGGTGGCGGACTGGAAGCTCACGGACAGCAGCAGTCTTAGCTGTGAGCAGCGCCCTTGGAGAATAAAGACCAAGCCCTGTCCACAGTGCAGAGAGCCAGGACAGAGCGTTAAAATAGCCACAGCCACTCACACGGGGGCTATGGCAGAGAGAGCGCAAACTGGGCTGGAACTCTGTTGGGACACCTGGGATTTGGAGAGCATTCAGAGTGTTTGCTGAGTTGTGGCCACAAAGGACAGAGGCCAGTGTGCTCCTTCCCAGAGCCATGAGGAAAAGCAGCAACCACCCTCCTCAGAGAGTCAGCCTTTCCCAGGTGAAGCAAAGACATGCAAATTAACAACCAGCATCTATTCCACCTTCTGGAAATCCTCTAATGAAGAACAAAAGGGCTATATTCCAAGGCACTGAGTAACTGAGATTACTAGACTCCAGGAAGAAGCTAGAGTATAACTGAACATTTTCTGGGCTTGCAAATCAATCCAGGAAAGTAAGACTTGAGAGTGGTGTTTAATGTGGGCACACCGAGGCTCATCCAAACCCAGTAGAAGGAGCCAAGAACAGAAGAAAACCAACACCCAAGGGAAAATTTGGCAGGCTCAAAAACCCACTGAGATAGCCAAAATGGTGAAACAAAGAAACAAATCCCAAATGAAAGTACAAGAGAACTCTATCGAAGATGAGATCAATGAAATGCAGTTAAGCAAATTATCAGAGGTAGAGTTCAGAGCCATGATCTTGAGGAAGCTCAACAGCATGATTAAGGACATCAGCACCATGAGTAAAGATATAGGAATACTGAAAACTAACCAGGTGGAAATGAAGAGTGACATAGCAGAAATAAAGAACACAGTGGAAGGACTGAGCAGCAGAGTAGAGGAAGCTGAGAACCAAATGAATGAATTAGAAGACACGGTAGAAAAAAATCAACCAATCAGAAAACCAAAAGGAAAAAAAAAATAAAAACAGGAAGACAGCATAAGAGAACTGTAGGACAACTGGAAACATAATATTCGCATCATAGGAGTCCCCGAAGAGGAAGAAAATGGGAAAGGTTAGAGAATATATTTGAAATAATAGTGACAGAAAACTTTCCTAACTTGGTGAAGGAAGAAAGCATTCAAGTTCAAGAAGCACAGAGAGCCCCAAGTAAGAAGAACCCAAACAGGCCCACACCAAGACACATAGTAATTAATGCCAAAAATTAAATACAAAGAGAGAATCCTAAAAGCAGCAAGAGATAAGCAACAAGTTACCTACATAGGAAACCCCATGAAGCTCTCAGCTGACTTCTCAACAGAAACACTACAGGCCAGAAGGGAGTGACATAAAATATTCAAGGTGATGAAAAGCAAGGATCTGAATCCAAGACTACTATATCCAGCAAGGCTATCATTCAAAATACAAGGACAAATAAAGAGCTTTCCAGGCAAAAAAAAAAAAAAAGGCTAAGGGAATATATATTAACACCAAACCAGCATTGGAAGATATGCTAAAAGGACGGCTGTAATTAGTAGAAGAAATAGGAAGAAAAATAGAACCACACTGAACAAAAATGGCAATAAATAAGTACATATCAATTATCACCTTAAATTTAAATGGTGTGAATGCTCCCATAAAAAAGATACAGAGTAGCTGACTGGAAAAGAAAGCATGACTCATCTATATGTTATTTACAAGAGACCCACCGCACAACAAAAAACTCACATAGGTTGAAAGTGAAAGAATGGAAAAAATTCTTTCAAGCAAATGAAAAGGCAAAAAAAGCTGGGGTAGCAATACTCATATCAGATAAAATAGACTTCAAAATGAAGGCTATAACTTGAGACTAAGAGGCCAGTACGTAATATCGAAAGGATTTAACCAACAGGAAGATATAACCTTGATAAACATATATGCACCCAATATAGGAGCAACAACATATATTAAAATTCTTCAAGAGGACTTCAAAGGAGAAATCGACAGCAATACCATCATAGCAGGGGACATCAACACCCCACTGACATCACTGGATAGATCATCTACACAAAAAATTAACAAGGAAACACAGACTGTAAATGAAGTGCTAGATCAAATGGATTTAATAGATATCTACAGAGAATTACACTCCAAAACTGCAGAATTCACATTCTTCTCAAGTGGACATGGGACATTCTCAAAGATAGACCACATGTTAGGGCACAAACTAAGTCTCTACAAGTTCAAGGAGACTGAAATCATATCAAGCATCTTCTCAGATCACAATGACATGCAACTAGAAATCAATTGCAACAAGAACATGCAAAGACATTTGAAAACATGGAGGCAAAATAGCATGTTATTGAACAATGAATGGGTTACCATGTAGATCAAGGAAGAAATTAAAAACTTCCAGAAAAACAATGAAAATGAACACACAACAACACAAGATCTATGGGATGCAGCGAAAGCAGTCCTGAGAGGGAAGTTCATAGCACTACAGGCCTACCTCAAGAAACAAGAAAAATTTCTAATAGACTGTATAACCTCAGAACGTAAAGAACTATGAAGCAAACATAAAGAAGACCCCAGAGCAAGTAGAAGGCAGAAAATAGTCAAGATCCAAGAAGAAATAAATGACATGGAGACCAAAAAAACAATTCAAAGGATCAATAAAACAAAGAGCTGGTTTTTTGAAAAGATAAACAAGACTGATGGACCCTTAGCTAGACTCACCAAGAAACAAAGAGAGAGAACCCAAATACACAAAATCAGAAATGAAAGAGGAGAAGTAATAACTGACACCACAGAAATACAAAGGATTGTTAACAAATATTATGAACAATTATATGGCAAAAAATTTGACAATCTAAGCAAAAGGAACCAATTCCTAGAAACACACAGTCTTCCAAAAGTGAACCGGAAAGAAATAGTAAACTTGAACACCAATAACAACTAAAGAAATTGAAGATGTAATCAAGACTTTCCCAGCAAACAAAAGTCCAGGACTGGATGGCTTCACAGGGTAATTTTACCGAATATTCAAAGAACTAATACCCATTCTCCTCAAACTTTTTCAAAAATTTCAAGAAGAAGGTAGACTTCCAAACTTGTTTCGCAAGGCCAGCATAATTCTAATTCCAAAACCAGAAAAAAGATACTACAAAAAAAGAAAACTACAGGCCAATATCCCTGATGAACATAGATGCCAAAACCTTGAATAAAATAGTAGCAAATTGAATCCAGCAATACATCAAAAAAATTATTCACCATGACCAAGTGAGATTCATCCCAGGGATGCAAGGCTGGTACAATATTTGCAAATCAATAAATGTGATACACCACATAAACAAAATGAAAGATAAAAATCATATGATCATATCCAATAGATGCTGAAAAAGCATTTGACAAAATCAAGCATCCATTTCTGATAAAAACGCTCAATAATAGAGGGATCATATCTCAACATAGTAAATGCCGTATATGAAAGACGTAAAGCCAACATCATACTCAATGGACAAAACTAGAGGCATTTCCCTTAAGAATAGAAACAAGACAAGGATGCTCACTTTTGCCACTCTTATTTAACATAGTACTTGATGTCTCAGCCACAGCAATCAGACAGGTAGAAAAAATAAAAGGTATCCAAATTATAAAGGAGGAAGTGAAACTGTCATTATTCGCAAATGACATGATAGTATACGTAGAAAACCCCAAAGACTCCATCAAAAATTTACTAGACTTAATAAATAAATTTGACAAAATAGCAGGATACAAAATTAACATCAAGAAATTGATGGCATTCTTAGACACCAGTGATGAACTCACAGAAAGAGAAACTAAAAGAACAATCTCATTTATCATTGCAGGAAAAAAATTACGATACATAGGAATAAACTTAACCAAAGAAATGAAGGATCTACTCACAGAAAACTACAGGTCATTGGAGAAAGAAATTGAGGAAGATATAAT